CTGCCGATAAAACACAGACATCATACAGAAAGTGCTTATGGAATAATGTTAGGGGTGTGATAAATATAGAACTTAATGAGGTTTAGGAAGAATGTGAAGTAACTTACACAGCAAAATCAGGAAAAGCCAGGGCAAGGGAACGACAAACATATTTCTTCCAAATTTGGTACTGTACAAAGTATAAGCTGTATGTTTTATGATGCTGTATTAAAAAAAATAAGCTGCATGTTTTATGATGCTGTATTAAAAAAAATGATAGCATGTTTTGTTAATCCACTACACTATAAATGTCACCAGCATCAGCTCATTTAGACACACCTGATGAGAGTTTACTCACTTGTAGCCAAATGTAAGGTCTATCCAGTGATGCAGTCTTTCAGAAACATACATACTCTCCAGAGCTTCCAAATGTTTGTCAATGAAGTCCTGTGTAGATGTGGCCCATTGCGGAATCTCAAGATCAGGCAAATCCTCATGTACAGACTGCAAAATCAACTAGAGATGTTCTCACCAAGCTACAATAATTCTTGGGTTGTGTAAACTCTTTTAAACAATAAAGACTATAAAATTAGAAGTAAAAATGAAATTAAAAAGAGAGAAAAAATATTAATGAAAAATACATTCTGTATGGTATTCTTTTCATTTTTCAGTGCAAACACTGACTTTTCCAGGAAGGACCTCTGAAAAATATCAAAGTCTCTTTGTATGGCAACAACTAATAAAATCAATAAAATCTTAAAATCTTAGATTGTTATGATCACTATTTCAAATGTCAAGAGAAATGTGACAACATAACAAATTATGTTTCAAAATGGTTATGATTAAACCAACTGCAAGAAGATTTGGTATCTGGCCTTTTCCCAGCCACTACACATTAGTGTACTTTACTTCACTTCACTACCATCAACCTAGAGAATTCTACAGACACACTTAAAAAAACCTGTTAAATCTGTAATTTTGATTGAAGAGTGCAAACATATGAGGAAAGCACTTCGAAGTATTCTGGAAAGTGAAAAAGTGATACTCTAAAGCATATTAAAATTTTGGAAACACATGAAGTGTTATGGTATGTTGAAGAAAATACAAATGACTGAAATATAGACTTACAGTACATACTTTATGAGGAGTTGTCATATATTGAGATAGATCATGCTACATCTCCACTGACTCAAGTGATTGAAAAATATTTTTTTATCTGTTGTATACATAATATGCTACATCTCCACTGACTCAAGTGTTTGAACAATATTTTTTTATCTGTTGTATACATAAATAATATTAAATATTTTCTGAATGACATCTTCAAACTCCATGGAACAAAACACTAGAATCAGTAGTGAAGGGATTAAATGTTCAGTTACAGTTATGTTAGGTTCTTAAGGAGCTTAACACTCTCTCTAAAATGTACTTGTTATTATTTTACCTCAAATACTGCAGGGTCAGTAAAAAACTCTGGAATGCATTCATCAGGTGTCCACTCCTGCAAGCGTTGAATAGACGATGGATACTCAGCTGGTACCCAGTTTGCACGAACATACTTACACAGCACTGATCGTGGTGTTCGACGTGACATGTATACATAGTATGTTATTTCAGAAAGAACATCTGACACATGATGTGGAACCTGTGTATTTTAAAAGACGCACTGGTAAACAGTTAAGATACGTTTGTATGCTTAAAATAAGACATCATATAGCCAGGTCTCTATGACATACAATTGTTTCAAAACACTTTTTTGTTGAGTCAGCACTTGCATATTAATGGTGGGACCCTAAATCAAGCTAAAGGTTGCAGATATAAAAAAAGCAGTTCTACTAAAACAATAAATATAAAGAAAACTGAAACTCGAGATCTCTCAGTATGCTCAGAATTATATGATATTAAAAACGAATGTTCACAGTTTCAATGTCTGCAAATTCTCAGAGTACTATGAATAATTCTAAAGATCTGGATTCTCACAAAGGGTGCAGTCTTCTTCAATCTAAACCATCTGTAATTGAGAAACCTTCAAAATTCTTTTTGTACATGCTGCCGGACCAGAATTCAAGCTTACAGAGAATTTTCTCTATTGAATCACAGAAAAGCCAGTTTATGTAGAAAACAACTTGGAAGTCACTAGCAAGTGACACAATTTTAAAAAAAAAAATCCTACTTAAATTTACTACATTTAACATGTCTTATGTTAAAGATTCTCTTTCAAAGCATCTATCTTACATGGAACCTTTCCCATGAAGTTTTCATACCAAAATTATAATGCATTCCTTGTTCTTATATATACATCATCAGCTAACCTTAAATTTCCTAATTTATTTAAAATGTACATACAGAAGATTATCAATCTCTGAAGGCATCAGAATATACTGGCTCTGTGCTGTTTCTTCTACACATTCTTTATGATCTTTACTCCTTTTAAACCCTTTACAGTTTAATTTGCCTGATTTTAATGAAATAAATTGGAATAAATACAGAAGTTACATACTGCATAAACCACTTCACATATAGACATACTTTTTTCATAGAATGAAGTACCTGAGATGCTCCTGCAGCTGCGTCATATGTGAGATCTAACTGGCGATCTCCTTTATTAAGACGGAACTTAGATCTTGACAGATCCCGCCAGTTGGACCCAGAACACGAAGAGAAGTCAGTGACCCAAGGCATGACATGATGGCACGTAGGGTCACCATATCTCCGTCCAGCAAGACAGTTGAGAGCTGTGAGGTAGTCAAAGTTGGACAGTTGACCATACACCCACATTTTGCACAGCTGTTCCAAACCTGCCACTTCACTCACCTCAACTGCACTACCACAAACCTGTACTTTACTGTCCTCTAATTTGTTCTGAGATAGTCTGTGGTTTCCTGGAATAACGCCAAGAGTCCTCAGGTAACTGCTACGTATGTCATCTAATGTTTTCGTGTCCTTCTGAGAATTACTTAAGGTGCTCCATCCTGCTTCCAATTCAGCCTTGGAATGTCTGTCAGTTTTTACCGAAAAATGAAAATCTTGTCTGTCTGCATATAATACCTCTTGAGTGTGGTCCAGTGATTTCACAGGAGAGGAATCAGAATTTGATTCATTTAGATGTCTCTTCAAAGACAAATCGCAATAAGTACACTTTACTTTTAATACCTCATTCAAGTCACCAGGATTTTCCCTTTCTTCCTCCTCAGCTTCTTCATCTTTTGTTTGGTCCCTTGTTTTGGAAAATGTCTCCATGCAATTACTAGGGGCTCTTTTCCTTTCAGCCTTTGGTTTATCATGGATATTGTCTTCCAACTGTGGAAATATCTAAAACAGAAAACAAAGTATAAAACTAATCAAAATTACAATTTTCATTATTTTCTACTTGTTGGTATTCAGGACAGCGTTACATGTTTTTTTAAGTCCATTTTTGGAATCCTTTTCAGAATAACTGTGCGAAATCCATACATTTAAAAGAATATCCCACTTCAGCTTCAAACTATTACAAGGATCAGACTTCACACTTGTGAAGCTTATTCTTGGAATAAAATTCTTTTGGATCCAGTAATTTTTTTACCGAGTACCTGATCTCATATACAACACATAATCTATTCATTACTGAACCATAATATCTAGAGCACATAAAGAATTACAAAACAGACCAATGTCCTCCACATTTCAATTGCTTGGATTTATAAAATATGCTACAGCAGTCACTCATCATCACTACCAGTCCTGAAGCTATACTAGCAGCATCACTAAATAAACCACACACACCTAGCAGCTAAGAAGTTCAACCACTTGTTGGTCCATTACATTTTAAATACTGTAAATTAAACCACTGTATTAATTTTTTTTTAACATAACGGTGTCTCCTTCAAACAGCCTGCTGCTTGGCCTAGAATACCAATTTAAACAGAAGAGGTACATGATCTTTGGTAGTGGTGTAGCTGGATATCATGGCTGCCCATGAATAAAGCTGGATGACAAGATTCTGGTGGGTTAATGACAAAAGTGGCCATGACCTGTTTTTAAGTATTAAGTATTCTTGGACAGACTGAGAGAAACTAGGTGATATTTAAAGTCACCACTGAAACAACATGATCATCTTTCAGTTTCATTATGCAACATGAATTATGTGATCAAGTGTTAAACTTCAGAATCGATCGATAATAAACAAATTAGAATCAGGTTACAAAAGAGATTTAAATGTGATCTCATTCCTTCAACCAGTTGTGCTGTGGATCATGAGCTGTTTTGGCCATGAGAACTATATTTGTGTCCTTACAGACGCAGAGGTACTTTCAAATCAACCTATACTATACCCTACAATTGTAATGTTATATACCCAAGAGGATCCACATTTGGAATCTTTGTCCAGAGACTAGCCATCCTTTTTAAAATTTATCACAGCTCCTCTAAATGTTGTTCTTCTGGTTTGTGATACCATATGATTTATAGGTTGATATAAACATTTGGAGAAACACTGTCTCCATCTTGCAGGGTTGAAACGCTGAAGATAGACAACACGTTTTACCACAACACTGGTACCTACCGTGAGTCCACATTTCTCCATCGTAAGAACCGCAAATCTTACATAGCTGCCCTCAGTCTGTCTGAGTAAATTCAGTTCTAATATTCAAAATAAGGTATGGCTACTTCCTCCTGCATTCATTCACCTTAACAATGAGTGCTATACAACGTATACATTTGGAAGAAGCTGTTAAATAAACCAACAACAAGAAAAGACACAAAGGGTATTTCTTACCTGTATCCACAAATTCTCGGTAACCAAGATGTCACTTAGGGTAACATCTCCAAGGACTAACCCTCGGTCATGCATAGCCCTCATGGACTGAAGAAGCTGATAGATAACAAACAGAGGCTTAGCATGAGAAGTGCCCAACACAGCTGGGCTGAAGGTTACACAGTCTTGGAGTGTGTGGCAGATATGTGGTTGCTGGATGATTAAGAAGTAACTGTTCAATTCCAGTGCACACAAGGCTGGTAATATATTACAGTGAGCATCATACATTTTCCCTTTCACATCAGTGGAAGTTGCATTGATAATTCCAGGGTTCACATTTATCAAGGGGCAGCCAAATGTACGAGTGATGATATCTCGCATCACTGTATTGTATTTAACAAGACTGATATTTGGGCTTCCTTTCCCATCATTGGATATGTTGCCACCTAGAACACAAAGCACATAAATAATATATTAAAATTACATGAATTGCCAAAATAAAGTTTCCTTAACATAGAAAATATATAATCAGAGAAAGCATATTTGTTATCACTTTCTAAACATTGTAATTCAGATATAGGAACCAATCAGCTCTCAGTTTATAAGCACACTCTAGTATTAATGTCCACTTTAACACTTACTGAGGTATTTCTTGAAAGCTTCTTTCCAAAGATTCTTGTGATTGGTTTGTGATACATAATGTAGTAGCTGAGCAAAAGAAAGGTCAGACTCTGTTTTTGATGAAACAACTCTGGGTCGGGGTAATGGGATAACTTTCCTATGCTTCTTTAATAATACCTGTAAGAAGAACAGTATACAAAATTAATTGCATAGCTACATCAAACATTCAGTCCATAAGTACAAGAAAGTAAAAACATTCAACAAAACAAAAAGTAATGCTTACTCTGACAAATAGCTTCTGCCATGATGAACCCAATTCTTCACCCTGATGCAGACATAATTCCACCTCATCTGCATTAAGTGATTCATGATAAATAAATTCAGGAATCTGATGAGTCTTCAACAATGACCTATATTTTGGGAGTAAAATAATGTGGGTCAGATTTAAAGAAAGAACACCTTCTCTCCTCACAGAAAAGAAGAGTATTTCAGCTTTACCCATTCATATCAATGTTTTAAAATTACATTCACCTTATCATTATAAGACTTACTTTATCCAGGTCTTGTGGACAACTATCACAACTCTATCCTTTGTGGATGTAGATTTAATATACTTTGGATGAATCCCTACTTCTTCTGCAACTAGATAAGACGTATCCATCGAATAATTTACTGACTTTTACAAGAGTATCTCCTTATTATATATATAAGACACGAATATGCCTCCTTCATTATCTATCAAATTCATGGCTCAATAATTTCAAGCCCAAAAAGCACGTATATGTCTTTCAAACTACACTGGGAAAATTAAATGTTAAACTGAATGTATCATTCAAAATATACTGTGTCTGATAAAAGCACCAACTGATGACAGGCAGATTCAAGGTTAGGATTTCGAAACTCAGATACTAGTTTCGGTTAACATAAAACTGCAAATTATGACGGACATCTGTTTCGGTGTTATACAAAGCACTCACTAACTTCCTCCAAAAAATCGGTAACATAAATTAGAACCGCGCACAAAAGTAATGGATAAACGTTCTATTCATCCATTCTAACCTACTGCAACCATCACTCATTTTGTTTTCAAACAGCACGGCATCCGGTAGCAACTATAATATTAAAATTGGCAACATACCAGCGACATCTTAGAAGTGTTCTGACTACCAACGTCAAACACGTACAGACGTTATTCGTATCGTATCTGATAGATGTCCCCAATCGCAATGTCATTGTAACGTGTCATTCTACGCTTTAAAATGTTTGCTAAGACAAAAATAAGCTCAAATTGATTTGTGTACTGATGTCATTATTCCACCTCCCGAATGCAAACAACCGTCAAGTCTTAAACTGTTATTATCTTATAACCTACTAGATGCAAACAAAAGGGTACCAGTTCAATGTTAGGTTAGGTCGTGATGGGCTACATTAGTGAAATGCAAAATGTCATGCACATATCATTAATTCTACCTCACGATTTCAAGCAATCGTTATTTTATAACCGAAGTTAGGAACTTAAAAGAACTATTTTGGAGAAGTTGTAAATGGCATAAAGTCCATACCAAATTTATGGAAAATGTATAAATATGGTATATAATTATTGCATCCTGCAAGTATCAGTTCTGAATAGCCAAGGTTAGTATAATAAATTCTTCTCGGGCTAATAGTAGTGTAAGGTGGCTTAATGGAAAAAAAAACCACACAGCTGGTAGCCCGAGAAGAATTTATTATACTTCGTTACTGTGTAAGCTTCAGATCATACAGCCAAGGTTAGGTTACACACAGAACACCATGAAGCTGTATATGTGCTTATTAATACAACGTATGGTAAACTGTATAAAACAATTTATTCATTTTAATATAAAATTTATATTAAATCAGTACAAATTTTGTTCAGAGACTTTAACTTTTAGAATGAACCTGGCATAAAATAAGTGAGAGTAATCAAATTAAAACTCAACTCTTGTAAAAAGTGAGCACTGGTTTTATCCATAACTCAGCATATCTTGTTTTGTAAATGTGTGAATTGTTTTCTAATGAGTTGTTTAGTATGCAAGCTGTATATGACTCAGCTTTATTCCTGCCATTGTGAAATAGTACACACAGGCAAGTGGAGCTTATATGTAATTGTCAACACAATCTAGCACTGTCTTGAAAGTACTGTTCTTAGAAATGGCTATATGTGCTATTTAGTGTAATGTGGTGAAATAATTTGGTTTAATTCTATTGTGATTTCCCATAAATGATAATTATGTTTATGATGAATGAATGACTTTAATTAAATCTTATTCAGTGCATTTTTTGGAATGACTAAGGAAATACACACTACCAGAAACAAGAGTTGGTGTTAAAGTTACTGTTTTATGTTAATATTTTAATATAAATTTTAAGTTATAGATTACAGTGTGCAACAGGGATTTGCATATTGTGTCTAATGCAAATTTATTAATTATTCACATTCATTACAAGAGCTTTCAAAGACTGATACCCTGTTTTTTAAGATGCATTTTATGGGAACGCTTAATAAACAGTCAATACAGAGTCATTTTCAACATTATGCCCTTAAAAAACAATTTAGCATAAAAATGTATGAGCTGCATCATAGGACTGGCTATACTTCTATGAAAATTATGTTGGTGTGTGCTTGGCAGAGTATAATGTCAGCTAATGTCAATTTGTAATAAAAAATGTGTTGTATTATATTTATAGAACTGCCATTTTTATGTAATTTAAATAATATTTTATATTCTAGGAATCTATCCTTGTATTTGGAATACAGGATTTTTATGTGAAATTATTACACTTATGAGACCCTCTTCTTAGATTATAATAATGAACATGGTGGTGATATAAAACCCATTTTAGTTTTATATATTCAATTTTAAATCCTGATTGTTTATATTGTCCATAATTAACACATTTATTTATTCTACATGTAAAGATACTTTTATTAGTATTCTTTTTGCAGCACTAATTGACAGTCAGAAACTATGATGTGTTAAATTATTGGATGAATTGAAAAAACAAATTTAATAACATAAAATTGTTATTTTTATTATTGTTGTTATTATTGCTATTACTGTTTTCCAGGAATAGTAATCAACCACTTACATGATGCAGATTTTGGATGCTTTCCTGTTGCCCTTAGTATTTTTTGCTTCCTCATTCTCAACTCAGCCAGGTAAGTACTCCATATTGACATGTTAAAATAGCCAAACCCTGTGAAAATCAACCTTTTCTTTTACATATAAGAATCTAGAATAAGCTACACCTGAAATAGTGGGATTCACCAACTAAAATAATGGTTATGTTAGTCACACTGAGATTAGAGTGGAATTCCCACTAGATGTTTCTCCAATAAACTACTATGTTGTAGCCATGGGTTTCAGGTCTGAGCCATGTCACTTCTTTGGATGTATCCAATGTTTCGGCACAAACTGCAGTTGCAATCTTATGAACATGTAAATATGTTAACTTTTAATTTGGGTTAATGTATTGGAGCTTTCTAATTCATAACACCTCCTCAGTCATTTCCTTGTATGATCTCTTACTGATTATAAAATCAGCCTAAAATGGCTCCCACCATGTTACAGTTTTTTTATCTTACTCATTGCATACGACAAAATTTGACCCAGTTTGTGTTATGAAGAAAGTACAAGTTCTTGAACCATCTTATTTTGCCTTTCCTGCAATTACACTTAATGAACTGAATATTGTGATGTTTATTTAACAATAAATTTTAAGTACTTCCATACTGATGCTATCAGAAAAATTAATTTATTACCAGTATGTTAAAAGTATGAAGAGGACATTTAATTTTGTTATGTTATGCTGTCAGGTTATACTGTGATGATCACAAAGTAAAGTTATCTCACATACATAATTTATCACTACACCTTGAAGATATATGGGGGAGTGGAGGTATGACTCTACATGTTCTTAACCTTAGCATTACATGAAGGTGAGTTAGTCAGCTTCATATCTCAAGTCTCTTTATCCCTGGTAAAAGAGATCCACTGGATGGGAAGCTGGATGGGCCTCAAAGCAAGACTGGATGTGACAGCAAAGAGAAAAAATTCTACCCCTGCCAGGGGGGATATATATATATATATATATATATATATATTTCACACATTATAAGTGAATGTAACTTCTTTGCAGTTTACCCCAGCAAGTATCGTGGTGTGGTTAGTGCACTGTGCTGTTTTGTCATTGTGGCATGTGGCCTCATTTTTGCTACTGGGGTACCCAGCAAAATGGCAATGCTGTACGTTGTGATGGTGATCCCAGCTGTGATGGGCATTGTGCCTGTTGAAGAAAAAGTGAAAGCTGTTATATCTTATACGAGGTACTGGGGACTAAGGTGAGATGCTTTTATTTACTACAAACATCATTCAAGCCATTATCACATATTTTACCAAGTGTAACAAATTCAAAACTCTTTCAACTTAAAAATATTTTTTTTTAACATGTCATCTCAATAACATCTTAACACAGTCATTGTCACCTTAGCTAAGCTGATATATTTTTAGGGGTTTGTATAATATATAATGTACCAGATAATAGTTGTACCATAATATTTTAATTTACTTCAAAGCTGCCCTAAAAATGACCTGTTATGTTTATGTGCATCATTGGTCCTTATAAAAGGTAGATTGTAATCCATGCAGGTCAATGCACATTAGTTTGTGAGGTTTTCAAACACTATATAATTAAATAAAAATAATAATTTTCCATCTTGGCACACAGCAAGTTTTGTTAAACTGAAGTACTCTTTAACCGTTGATGTTGCATCAAGCCTTGTGTTAGAATAAGAACAGCCTTAAAATTTTACAAAATGTAATCATGGTGAAGAATAATGTCTTTCCTTGTCCTAACTTTTTTTTGAAGTCCAGGATTTCTGGGAAATGGTGTAGTAGTTTTGGTCATGAAGGCCCTGTGGTGACTTACAAGAACTGCCAATTTTATCTACCATGATTTATAGACTTAGAAAAACACTGCAGTAAAAATTAAATCAATGCACATGTTAACTTGAAACTCGATTTGGTGCCACTGTAGCGAGAACCTAATGTACTTTTCTTGTTATGTTTTCTTCCTAAGTAGGATAATCCTGATTAATTTAGGATTTATTTAGTGTGAAATTAAAAGTTGGTAAACATGTTGCAGCATGGTGTTTATGGGACTGATGCACGGTGATGTGATGAAAGCAAAATTATATATACGATTTGAGAAGTCATTACTCAAACTGCAAAAACAATTCATCAATCTTAACACCATTATAATTCAGGTATTTTAGAATTATAATTAAATGTGTACAAGCCTGTTAATTTAAAGGCAAAAGGGAAATTTCTTGCCCAAGATGTCTGAGCACAATATGCTCAGGAGAATACAGGCCCCATAATTGGCGGGGAATTTATTTAAGAGCTAAGCTGCTATGAGCTTTGCAAAGAGAAGTCTGCTCCATTGAGCAATTTCTGGATCTTTTAATTGAAATACACAGCTTTTACAAAATAATGAAAACTAAACTCATGATAAAATGATCATCCTTAGTTAAGCCTTTTTTATTCCCTAGTTTTTAGTATTTCTTATGCACTGTGGAAATAACCTCTTTTACAAATAGCTGAAACTAAAATCAAATTTAGTGCTTTTAATATGATTGCATTTGTACTCATATTGTAACAGACAATAATTCTGATTTCTGCAAGAGTCATAAATAAGACCAGAATATACTGAACAGATATATTTTACTTGCAGTTGCTGTTCTGCTTTCTCGCCAAGAAGATCTTTTGTCCAAAACTGGGTCTGATGTATGTCATGTGTCTGTATGCTAACCTGAGTTTCCTATTGAGACTTCTTAAGGTACAGCGTCCTAATTTTACCATTCTAAGGTCCAAATATTTTCACGAGGACTTTGTCTTTACAACCATACTTTTTGCAGAGAAGAGCATGGAGGACGCTGTTCATTGCATGTAGTGTCTCCCTCTGTGCAAGCATACTGTCGGAGAGCTGGACAAACACAATGCTCACTGCAGCCTACCTCTTGCTTATCACGTTTCCAGGTAAAGTGTTACCAAGTGCACTTTTAGTTATGGTTTTAATAATAATAAACAACAACAACAACTATTTTGAGAACAACAAAAATAATGATAATAATAATAATGCCAAGATGGTAATAATCACAAAAAGGATCTTTCTGAGTGAGATTTGAGGTTCCACTCATCACCCTGATGATAAAGGCAGCAAGCACTCCTGAAATGTCAGTAAACTTCTACAAGACTAAGGAGTGCAACCACCCACAAGACAGCCATTATTAAGATCTTTCTAGTTTGTGCTCTTCTTCTAGTATAATTAACTCTAGCATGATCTTCATGTTTGTGCTGGAATTTTAAACAGTATTTATAAACACAATGTCTTAATAATTTTCAACATATGTACCTGACAATGGCATAATGCTATGTCGTGACTATGCTTCTCCTCTGTCAATAGCTTCTTGTAACACTTCCTAGAAATTCCAATCAGTGCCGGATGTGTGTGTTATTGCAGGTGTACCAGGGGAGGACTCATTGGCTGTGTCCACTGTACGTAGCTGGAAACTCTCAATACTAGGAGGAGTGGAAGAATTCTGGGTGCCCATTCTAACTCGTGTCCTATCTGCATTTCTTGCTACCATTCTTACTGCTGTAGCTCTTCCAGATCGCGCTGCGTGGAAGCTGTGCATGTGGGTCTGGTATGTACAACGCACTCCACATTAAGGGATAAATAAGATATTTAAATTTAAATCTGAATGTTTTTTTTATATTGGCATGTTTTTGTAAATATTATTTTTTGGACGCTGTCCATCATTGTAAGGTTTTATTAAATCAGACATTTTGGAAACAGGCTTTTTCCATCATCACGTAGCAGAGGAGATAGCCTTCCTTCTGAGATGGACCAGTTGCATAAAGGTAGTATCATCCATGAATCAAGATTAGTTCTATCTGATGGGTCCATCTGACTAGGAAGGCTACCTCCCCTGCGACCTGGTGTTGGATACAGAGCTACTTTCCAAAATGTTGGAATCAACAAAAGGCAGTGCCCAAAGATAATAATATTGTTTAAGATATTTAATACTTGACATCAAATCCTGGACTGCAATCACAGGAATCAGGTGAATGATGATTAGCGTAACACAACCACCTTGAAATGCATGAGTTAGACGTTGGCATCCTATGCCTTCATTTGAGACCCTTTGTTTTCGAGCTATCGCTTCTTACAAGACAAAACATTTTGAATGTAAGGAACAGGCCTTCACAACAACTGAACACCTCTTCACCTAACATTATTAATGTTGACACTAAGGTGAGATTAGGAAAATCTGTGCAGTGGCTGGTCTTGAGCCTGACAACCGTTCTACAAAAATCCAATAGATTACCCCAAAACTACCAGATCCCAATTACACCTATAATTATAAACTAGGTATTTTGGTCATTATTTCTACTTCAATCTTCAGGTGACTTGTGATTTCAACAACTACTTGTACTTTTTAATGTTTTTATTCATGAGATTAGTGTTGGTTGACACACAACTTTGGCATTCACAGAGTTCAGGGTTTGATCTCAACCACTATTATTAATCTTGAAATAATAACAATAAAAATTTCAGTACAGTAACAACCAGTCACCTGAAAAATATAAGTAGAACCAACCCCTCCAACAATTTGCTCGTCAAATACATATCAAGCAATGGGCAATTTTCTAACTGGTGTAATTGTCACATACCATTCAGTCAGAAGACAGTTGCTGGATGTTTTTGAATGTTTTTGCACAGTCTTTCATAATTTTAAAACTTGTCTTGCTTGGAAAGGTACTCCAATGTGTATGTGTATCTGCTGCATACGGTGGAATGGTATTGGCCACCTATGGGAAATCAGATGGAACATCGTCGCCAGTATCCGACAGTAGATCGCCAAGGGCGTGACTGGACAGGTCCTTGTTCAATCTGCCTGGAATCTATTAAACCTTGCACTGCCACTGCTACCACCTGTGGACATATCTTTCATGGAGAATGCCTTAAGAAATCTGTGACAACCAATAACAATGTCTGTCCACTTTGCAGATGGCCTCTTGTGGCTATGCCCTCCACTTAAAACAAAATATTAAACCAGTCTTTTACCACAAATTGTGAAGTAACGTGGACCTTTAGTTACTGCTATAATCTGGTTGGTTACTGTTGATGGTGTACCTGCCATTTATATTATCTACTAAATTGTGCATTGCCTCCTTGTTCATTTAATAAGAGCTGTGATGATGTATATTGAAATGTGTCAATTATTCTTGTCTTTAAGGCTGCACTTCTTTCTAACATATCCTCTTCATAAATACATGCCATATTTATTCAAAGCACAGACCACAGCCAATTTGTTCTTTATGTTAATCTTCCACAACTTCTACTGGTGTATGAAATAACTAATGGATATTAAGTGTAATCTTAAAAAAAGGACAATTTAAATTGGAAACTGCAGGTGATTAAAACTGAACGTCTGATGGTGCACTCGGACCTGAATGACCAACTCTGAAGGAAAATGGCTGGACCAAAAACAATACAGTCCTATACAGCAGTTTTACCAGAATATCAGAATTCAGACTCTAGAAGACATAGAGAGCCATAGTGCATCTTTAATTGTTTTTTGCCTTTATCCACCCTTACCAATATCATTTAGAAAATGTGCATAACTGCACAACCCTTAGAACAGGTAAGAACAAGAGAATGTTACTAGAGTTAGAATACTTTCTGACTACTGTGATGGAGCCAGCAGCGTCAGGTGACACGTCTTCTTACAGGCTACAACTAGTTATGGTCGACAGGGTGCCCCAGAGCAGTTCCTTGGAGAACATTTAACATGGGTTTAAGAATATCTGTCATTGAGTCAGAGTAAAATACTCCATAAGCAACTTCACGAAGCAGAACTCATCTTGAGAAGTTGACAGTCATTCACACACTGTCTTCGTCTTAAGGGCTGTACACAGAGACTGTGTGTTTCTCTGAAATGTTGGTACCTGAAAGCCAAATGGCATCACAACCCAGACATCATCCATTACTGTGCTCACAAGACCCTGTCACTGAATACTTTCTTGGCCTATATATTCACATTTTAATATGAATGACGACTTCCAAGATATTCTGTATGTATTCACGATAATCCCCATATATGATATATGCCTCATCTGTCTTATTCTGATTTCATCACATTTTCACATAATGTCTTATTTCCTTTTACCTTTTCAATACTGTCATTAGGCACAAATGTTCCCTAAGTATTCAAAAAATTCCATTATTTTGACAATACAGTGTGTCAACATGTCACATATGATGAAGTTCAGCAGAAGATGGCTTCTAAGCAGTGTGAATTAAATCTTTACTTATTAGTATGCATAAAAGGTGTTCTTTCTAACAAATTAAGTAATAAAAATTTTTATTCGTTAACCATGTTAACTGCAAACACTTCTCCCAAGTTGTTTAACAGTGCTATATAACCTTTGCTGTTGAAACAGTCATTAAATTACCTATGAATCAATCAATCCAACTGTACACAATTCACCACCTTTTAAAACTCAAAATATTTTACACTACTTGTATTTAAAATCCAAAAAATATGTATTCCTTTACATTATTCAAGTGAAATTTCAAATAAATAATTTCATCAAAAATATTCATTCTTTAGCCTTTCTTAAAATGGACTATATTGAAATTCCTTACTATAACAGTTCTTATGAATATATTTTCCTGTTAACCTAACCAAGTTTCCGACACAGCAAAAGGAATGTGACATCACAAATGTTTTCTATTTTTCATTCTTTTTGCGCTTCATATTGATAACGTTGTGCACTGCTGCCAACTGGCAATGGACAGCAAGCAAATAAGCAACCAGAACAGGGACTGAGAGACAGAAGAAAGTATAGAGAAGAAATAATTTTATACACACACACAGGGTTACATACTCAAAAACCCATACAATGTTTTAAGAAATGATACTGGACAATTTCTTGAAAATTACAATATTTCTTAAGGTAAAGAATGGTAAAGTTGTCCCTGATGCTTAATTAAGCATGATGATGTACAAACACATGGGGAAGTACACTGCCATTTGGATTAATAAATCATTTTATGTTTCTTCACATAAGGTAAATAGTACTTTACTGTAAAGAGATCAATATATGAATACAAAGTCCCTGAGAAATCTCTGTAAATAGAGACAAGGAAGAAAAGGTCTAATTAAATACCAAATTACAATAAAATTGGGCAACTGGCATATTTTAATTGTGCAGGCCTAGAAGTTCATTGTACACTAGTTTCAGTTTAAAGAACATTGTAACATGAATTTTAACAATTTTGAAGTTTTTAATGCAGCCTTGCACAATATGAAGTTCCAATTTTGATGCCCGTAATGAAGTTATTTGTGTTCATTAATTTATTGTAACAGCTAAACCTCTCTTCCTGACAGAGAAAATGTATAAAATTCCATATGTATCACAATAAATGTATATTTTCTACATCAGTGCTACTTTAAGACTTATATCAGTGCCTGTAAGTATAAGCTAGCGTTCAGAACAACAAGAAATGTCAGTAAATACTGGAAAAAAGTATTAATTCAACACGAATATGCCATCTTTTATCAACCGATTGCCATAAAATGTAATATCAACACTTGTAAAGGCAGAAGACGCAGTCTTCCAAAATACGAAGGCAAATTCATTGTCATTAATGCAATGTAAGACATATTTTAAAATTTAGGCACACTGGTTTAAGTTGTTTTTTTTTCCCCGTGGCGTAACAGCCCTATGAGAGCCAAAGCCGACTAGCTGGCTGCTGGCCTCACGTTCACTTGCCTAAGCACAGGTGAACGATCATCCAACCAGATATAGGGTGACGTGTGGTCAGCACGACGAACCCCCAGCCATCGCTAGGTAAGTATTCTTACCTTTCAAAATATATACTACAACTTGAGGATGTATCACAAGATATGTCTTCAGTGTATAATAAATGTGACTAGAAAAATGTTGCATTTTTTAAGGAATCATAAACACTAACACATACAAACATGAAATGAGGGTAAAACAAGAAAAACCATTAGTGTCTATGAAACATGATGTCTTTCCAACAGCGTATGTACTGGGCGAAGTTATCATATTATGCAATAACAAAGTTTGAAAATTAACGTACTTTACTTTTAGAGGTTCTGATCACCATTTAAGTTACTACCCCACTTTTAACCACACAACAGATGGACACTGCACATAATAAGTTCTCATGTTTCATAACTAATGAATTATTTAAAAAGGTTTAGGACTTCAATGCTTATTGCACTGTCAAATAAGACCTAGAAAATTAGGCGCTTCCTACCTTCTTGCTTTGATATGCTCACAACAACAAAGATCTCATTTCTTGGATCTACTGTCAAATGGTAACAAAGTCAACATTCCTAGAAGAGATAATAATTATCGTCCAATGATTGTTGGTTCATCTGCCATCGCAATCTCATCATTTGGCGCCTTGCTTCCTTTGCGTTTGCGTGAATAAATCAAGAAGACACAACCGGACACCAGCAACATTACAAATACTAGCCATGCCAGAACAATGGAGAAGCCGTACGAGTAAGTGGCACCTGGTGGAAATGTAAATGGTAGATGATTCTGCTCATAAGTGATTGAGTTGATTAGAACCTCAATCACTGCCAGGACCGATCCACCTGAAAAAGTAAAGCGATGCATTACTTTTAAACTCCTATAGAGCAGTTTCAGCACAGGCAATCCTACAACAATCTACAGGGTGCAATCGCACTAACAATAACCTAAAGGACTTGTTTCTCAGATCAAAAGATATTCTGGTTGGTACAGGACGGTGAAACAGCACAGTCTTATATTTAGTCTCTTCAGAACACATTACTATACAGTTTCATGCATTAAACTTTATCATATGGGATAGGGGCTTAAGCCCCTGCAATATGGGGTTGCTGACCAGTGTTCTACTTTCGAGTTAACAGTATAGGGGTATGCTAGTGCAAAGCAATATCAGCTGGACTGCACATATTAAGTGGACAAGAATGATAAAGGTTAATGTCTTGACCTCTTCTGGTTATTATGATTACTGGTCACTGTTTTATACAATATTTATCTTGCCCCCCCCCCCACTCCTTAACCCAAATTCTATTTTTTTTCCAGCAAGTGATTCTAGGATTAAAAATGTGTGGATGTACGGACAAAAGGTCTATACTACGCATGACTTTCATGTAAAGAACATGTTAAAATTAAATTTATGATTTCTACAGTTGGTCGCTGTGTAAAATGGTTTTATTGATTAGCAGTACTGGATAAGAAACAACTTAATACAGTTAAAAATATTTTAAATTCAAGTAGGCATTCTTCCTAAATGTTGTAGGCACATTACCTGATTGTTTATTATTGTATCAATATCTGTTGCTATCAGTTCTCTAATAACTCTCATTGCATTTGTGATCAATAATTTGTATCTTGTAATCATTGCTGCCAGCTTACAAAAGCCATAATCTAATAACTTCTCTGGAGCAAGTTAATCTAATAATTACTGAAACATATTTTCCATTCTATTTCACTTCTTTTGTGCTTATTTTTTAGATTTAAACCATGGAAACATAGATTTCTTCCTAAGTACTGTATATACTTGGCTACTTGTCAAAGACCACAATAACACTTTCTTTCACCATCTCTGTGGCCATTTTCCAAGAGTAACAACAGTGTTTGTGATAATATTTCTTTGTACAAACTGCCAGTACATATTTAAATGACTGATTGAACAACATTGTTCTCACTGTCTTCACTTCTTGAGCTACCCAAAATACAATAGATTGTTCTATGTTACATTTTGCATAGATGTTGGATTTGGCAAGGGCATTCAGACTAGTGTGCTAAGTGACAGTCGAAATGTCCATTTTTTTTTTAGGTTAATGAAACCAGATGAAAGAAGTTGGCTTCTCACTGTAGTTCAGTTAACTTTTAATTATACATCATAACAATTGGGAAACAGCTCAAGAACTGTAAAACGATCGATATAATGAAGGAATAGTGACAACCATTTCACAACAGCACTCAGCAAATATATTTAATGTGTCATTTGTAGAATATGTTACTACCAGTCAGTAGGCCTACTCCGAGTGCTTTTGAAATCTTGAGTAATTTATATTTATTCTGGTAGTTAGTTCAAAATAAGACTGGAAAGGTGTATTCACTTTTCCAGACAGGCTCTTTGTGATATTTTCTTTGATAGGGATTAAAGTAAAATTTAAATTTAAAGTCAAATTTGAATTAAAAGAAACATTTTAGATCTTACCTAGATTTATATATTAGGTCATGTACCAATCTTCTGTACAATGAATAAGAAATGTTACTGTTTGATATAAGCCTGAGGGTTATATTGCACCTGTAACAACCAGAACTGAATTTACTTAGTGAATTTGATTTGACATATTCTGTTCCATGTGTGTTGACAATATTTGGGCGTGTGGGTATTATGTCTCTTAAAACATGATAATTTGATTTGACATATTCTCTTCCATGTGTGTTGACAATATTTGGGCATGTGGGTATTATGTCTCTTAAAACATGAATTAATGTAAAAAGATTTGAAAGATGTTTTTCAAAATAAGTTCCCAGAAAATGTCCATATACAGCAGTTAAATAAAATCATTCCCAAATTCAGGTTCTGTTAATATACAGTCCAAAAATCAATGTAATATCCTATGTCAGACATCTGCAAATTTTGTACAATTAAGGCAACACATATTGTAACTGGTTATGTATCCGCACGCCATTAATTTATACAATAGCTTGAATTCACACATGAGTAAACTTCATCCATATACACGAATATCAATGTATATCTCATATTATAATTTCAAGTGTGTTCAGCAACAAAATATTATATTTTGATTGTAATTTATTTGTAATGGTGTTTGTCACTTTATAATATTATGAAATCAAGTGGATTATATTAAATGTAACTTGAAATTCTTCTGTCATCATCAGCTTTGCAGCCTGTGGAGTCTACGACACAAAGTTAAAGAAAAACTTGATATTTTATGTTCACTTATTCTTACTCTTCTTTGCATCGGTTGCTTTTAAAAACAAATATTATCAGTCCCTAATTTAAGAAGACTTTTGACTGGAGCGAGGGTGTCATTTTACAGACATATATTTTCAGTTTGTTTTACTGCCATTCTCCCAATACCAACTTAACAAAATTTTCATTAATACTTTATGTCCTAAAACTTAGTCTCTATTATAGGTACAGCGAAAGATTTAATTGTGTAATTTATGACAGAAGCAGAATACCATTAAGTTGTGAAGGCACAGGGTGTTCCACCAAATATGTTTACATTCAACAATCTATTCAGGTACCAATCATTCCACGACTAATTATAAATTAAGTACAGCTTCAAACAAGGGATTCAGCCATTACATAATTTTAAAAGCTACAGCAGATATATTGAATTGTGACTTGCCTGAAATGAAGTGGAGGACTCCAGCAAGTCTCTTGAACATGTAGCGAGGGTTGCGGAATGTGTAGGTTGAGAATGTGAGTCCCATGATCATTAGCACGAGGCTTATGATGGAGAATGACGCTTCAGACCGGTTGTAGTCTGCACATGACAAAGATGACAAGTCACATTTAAATTTACACGCAATAACACGACTATGAGCTTCATAAAGACAATCTTAACATTTCCACTGCAGAGCAGAGTTCTTTGTGAGAAGTTGACAATCACTCGATTCAATCAACAAATTTCCCAACTACGGATCCCAAAAGTTCATTACCGTGATCACAAGACCTTATCCTTTGTCAGCTGAATCCAATCTATTCATTAAATAAATCCTTCAGCAGCTGAAATCACTGGGCAGGTGCCCTGACTCTTTTGGAACCAAAAGGTCCATTACCATATCCCCAAGAGTTGTGCCATGCAACCCTACATGAGCCAGTTTAATCTAGCCTCTCACTCTGCCTGAGATAATTCAATCGTAATGTTGAATGAGAAATGTATTGCACTAATTTATACATTTTAGAATGTGCAGGCTTTGAAATAAATATTTCGCCTGCGGGACCAGGGCAACTTTGAATAGGACTATGACAGTTCTCATTTACAAACAATGTCTCCAGGGTCATCAACCTTCTAAAATGACTGTGCATCAGGGATGTACAATCTCTGGAACATTATTTTCCTCAATCT